GGCTGATGGGTTTGAACCGCCAGCCATCTGGTGAGCAGTCAAGTGCCTTAACCACTAATAATTTATGGAGTACTATAATTATGAAATTAATGTCAGAGAATACATTCATTCTATGGAACTACATCTGAATGGACGAAATTGTTAGTATAGCTGGTCGAAGAATTTCATATCTTGATTTATCAATACATGAATAGTTATAAAATTCAAGATAGGTAGCATAAGGACAAACATGAAAAAAATAAATTTTTGAAGCACAAATTTGGGTAAAATTAAGTACCACATTTGCTGCTTCCTTTCTTCAATCAAAAGACAGGATTCACTCATTCCTTCAGCAAATATTCAGTGCCTCGCCTATGTAAGGCACTATTCTTCTTATTTAGAATGTATCATTGACAAAATAAAGTGTCTTGCCATTCTGGAACTTACATTTTACTGGTGGGTAGACAGAAAGGGAATAATAAACAAAATAAATAAATAAATCATAAAATGTTAGAAAGTAATCCTTTCTATGGAAAAATATAAAAGAGAAGAAGTATGAGAAGTAGGGAGTAGAACACTGGGAATTCATGGAAAAATATTTAATATAAATACTATCTAATTTCTTGAAACATACTTTTAAGATTAAAGCTATTTAAATAGAGGGAGACTGTAAAGGATACCGATCAGTTTCACAATAAATAAATAAATAAAACCAAACTCACTGCAGTCAAGTCGGATTCGACTCATAGTGACCCCTCCTTGAGTTTCAGAGGCAGTATCACCACAGAAGTAGATTGCCTAACCTTCCTTCTGAGGAGTGGCTGGTGAGTTTGAACCACCAGCCTTCTGGTTAGTAGCCACACACCTTAGGCACTGATAACTCAAATAATCACCAGGTATGATAAGGCCAGTCTGACATATAGATACAGATGCATATATAGACATAAATCCTCTTGTTTCGCTGTTTAATAAACACCCCGAAAAACAGAGCTCTCCATATGGAGGAAGGCCATTCTTATATCAAGGAATGTGCAAAATAATAGCTAAAACTCTCAAGGAATGATGTTTAATAAAAGAATAAGCAACACAGAACTATTGGCAAAACCATAGGAAAAACATTCAAAGATCTCTGCAAGCTAACCTATCTTCCCCTGCTTAGAC